AAATAGCACCTAGTCTCTACGGCAAATGATGTCACATCTGTGCTTGATGACAATTCGGACGTAGCCGCCACCCCTTCATGTCTCACCCCATGAGTTTTGGCCAATGAAGAATAATTCTCGGTTTTCGGTATTCCATATGCGACAAGTAAGATGCAGTGAAGAGCAATGTTTTCCGTAATGACTTTCTTCTCTGGAAAATAGTAAATCTTCTCGCGATTTGTTGAAAGTGTCGTGTCAATCACAAGTCGTAGCGTAACTGGATACTTATCCAACTTTTGTCGGATTTATAAGAAATTTACATCTTCGAAGAGATCAAAGTCTTCTTGAACTTTTTTACCCTTATCTCTAGCCTTTCCAACTCCTATTGTTCGGGTCTTCAACATTCCTTTGACTCTGATGTACGTCAAAGCCGTTTTGAGATTCATATTTCTTTTTAAAATTATATATTTGCATTTTATCAAGTAGATTATAAAATAAACATGTATCAAATTTTCTAATTAACCTCTAATTAATAACTCATTAAAATAATTAGTTGATAAGCAAGGTTTATTTCTTTAAATTTTATCTTTATTATACATAGGTTTTATTTTTTCGTAAAACCATTCTCTTTTTTTTTCTCTTTTTATTTACGTGTATGAGATGAAATAGGTTTTAAGATTTTCTCATAACAATATTAATTAATCCATGTATAAAATTTTTTTGAATCCAATTAGACATAGGTTTACATATCCAAATCTTCATAGATGATAAATATTTTGCCTTTATATAATAAGTTTTGTACTCTCTCAATTTTCTCACCAAACAATTTTAAACTTCGATAATCTCTTCCACAAATTTTAATTCAATTTTTTCATTAGAAAATAACATCGATTACTCTCTTATTCAATATGTGAGATAGATTATGCTGAAGTATTTTAGTTTGTAAGATTAATAAAGAAGATATCTAACTCAATTTTTTCTTTTCTTATTATTTTCAACATAGATATCTACTCAACAAAATACAAACATTAATTATTTAAGACTAGACCAGTTAAATACAAAACGTGTTTACTGTCTTACGTCTTATCAGAAAGTGGGAAGCAAAAAATTTTATGAAAATAATGAGATATATGAATAGACTTTCTATTACAGTATTACTTGATGAAAATGTTAGTGTATTTTTATTTTATAACAATAGGAATTTTAATGTATTGCTAGGTTGATCACTTGATGAGAATCCGACGCCATCATGAATCCCTTGAGGTTCCTCGCCGCTGCTTGTGATAGAGCCTCTCGCATTGCCGCCGCTTCCGCCATCACAGGGGATCCAATCCGACTCTCAACTTTGGAGCCTTGAGCCACGGTTAGATCCTGAAGGTCTTTAAAGATCCACCATTCTTTGTTTATATTTTTGCGTTTCCTATTAACTAAACCCGCCAGAATCAGGTCTTAACCGAAAACAAAACCAAATCAGATTGTAGTAATTAACATCACTATACATGGTTTTATTTTGGTTTGAAGTTCTACAAAAACAAAAACAAAAGTAGACAAAAGTTTACCCACTCACATTCACAATAATTATTTTAAAATCTGTTAGTAAATTTGAAGAAAAAGAGACTATAAATCTATGGTCAAGTTAGTAATATGAATTCTAATGAGTTGTCAAATTGTGTTGGTTTGGATGAAGTCACACTTATTAAATTGTTGTTTCCCTAGTGAAGACTTACGTAGGCTCTTTGTTTGTTCTTCTAGTGTTTGTCTTCTATTGGCTTTTGCCAAAGTCAAGTCAAATCCATTCTATTAAACAAACATGGGTCAAATTTATATCATTTACTTGTTCAAACTGTGGATTTTCAAAAATACATAGTATGTAAGTAATGTACTTTTTAAGTCTTTTTTAAAGAAAAGTTAGTTCTTCTTCTTCAAATTTCTTGATGGATCCAAGATTGATCGCAGCCACTCAAATCGGAAGCATCGATGAATTGTATGCTCATATACATGAGAATCCATACATTCTTGAAGCCATTGATGCAATACCTTTCATCAACACTCCTCTTCATGCAGCTTCTGTTTCTGGGAACCTTGCTTTTGCCATGGAGATGATGAATCTTAAGCCATCTTTTGCTAGAAAACTTAACACATGTGGGTTAAGTCCATTACATCTTGCTATAGAAGAAGGTCAAACACGGTTAGTTCTAAGTTTGCTCAAGGTTGATCCTGACCTTGTTCGCCTTCGAGGAAGAGAAGGTAATACTCTTTCTTTTTATAAAGGTTTTAATCAATTACTTACCAATCATTTAATACTAGTAGAGAGTTTCTCACAAATCTACTACAGAAATCAGAATCTAAAGGCTTTTCCTAAGTTCCTACTAACCAATTTTGTGTTTTATTTAGTTTTAAGTTATTTGATGATTTGATTTTTTTGGCATACATAATTTTGAAAGGTTGAAATAGTTTGATCTTGAATTAAGGTACAACGCCGTTTCATCTAGTGGTGAAAAGAGGAGAGACTGATCTTATGACAGAGTTCCTCTTAGCTTGTCCTAGTTGCATTAGAGATGCAAACGTGAGCGGTGAAACCGCTCTACACATGGCAGTTTTGAACGATAGATATGAAGAGCTTGAAGTACTCTTGGGATGGGTTCAAAGATTGCGTCAATCCGATGCCGAATCGCTAGAGATGCAATTTTTAAACAGACGTGATCGAGACGGTAACACAGCCTTACACATAGCAGCTTATCAGAACAGATTCAAGGCAGTAAAGCTGTTGGTAAAATGTTCTGCGGTTAACCAGAACATCCTTAATCATATTGGTTTAACCGCCTTAGATGTCTTACATAACCAGAGAGAACATCATACGAACATAAATATCGAAAAGCTAGTTCGAAAATCAGGAGGTACGAGCGGAAACTCTCTACCGAAATCCAAGAAAGTGTTCGAAATCTTGAGATCGCCGATCAGTTTCATGGAGCATTTGTTCACGCAGGCAGCGCGGTATAGGAACCAGATACCAGAAGGATCAAGAAGCGCGCTTCTAGTGATAGCCGCATTTATAATTACAACTACTTATCAAACAGCTTTGCAGCCACCAGGAGGTGTATACCAAGAGGGAAGTAGTAGTAAGAAGAGTGCTGGTACTGTGGTAATGAACAAGATCTATTTCAATGTTCTTCGGAGTGTGAATAGTATGGCTTTCGTTGGAGCGATTTTCACGACGTTTTGTTTGTTACCAGCTGGTGAAGGCTATCTATGGGGGTTTCTGTGGATATCAGTTCCATTGTATGTTTCTTATTTGGTTTCGATGTCAGTTATATCTCCAGATACAACGTGGTACTTCTCGATTAGCGCGGGTTGGGTTATAATCATGGCCATTGTTTACATGGTTGTGTTTTTCCGGCGGTGGAAGCGGTCTAAGAAGAAGGTACCTGGAACCAGTAGTGAGTTGATTCTTGAAGGATTGACAACTCTGGATTTAGCTAAAGGAATGGAGTAGTGTAGGTGAAAAGTGAGATGTGAAGCTTTGATTCTATGTAATAGATTGTTTCCATGTAATAAATCACACTGTAGAATATGAATCATACAAACTGAAGTGTTGGATTTAAATCACTCCATGAGATTATTAGTAAAGAATTTGGTGGATACAATACAAATACATCAAATCAAGTTTCATTTACCATCCAC